ATATAATTTTACACACACACACACATATTTGCATTCAGTATTATGTTCTCAAGAGTTATCTATGTCAGTACTTTTGGACCTACTACATTCATTTTAACTACCATGTAGTTTTGTATCATAACCACAGGCCAACATTAACTTACTCATGCTACTATTGATGGTGGTTTCCAGTTTTTCACTGTTCAAACAATAATGGAACAATCATCTTTAAGGCACTTCTCCTTGTGCAAATGTATAAAGGTCTTTCTAGATATATGCCCAGAAGTTGCATGATTATTTAATAGGGCTTCCACACATTCAATGCTACAAAATATTGGCAAATTACTTTCCATAGTGGTTGTACTAGTGTACTTTCCCATCAGCAGATGTGAGTTTCTTTCTTCACAGCCTTTCCAATATTTAGCTATTTTGGCATTCTCATATATATGAAAAGTGATCCCATTTTAACTTTTGCATTTTCCTTTTCAAAAGAGAGGAGAAGCATTTTTTTTTCATGTGTTATTGACAATTTGGGTTTTTCTTCTCAGATTTGCCTCATTTACATTCTTTGATAATTTTTTTTCCCTACAGCATCTGTCTTTTTCTTATTGATTTACAAAAATTCCCTTTATACAGACTATGTACAATTTTTAAAATTCAAGTATTTTTTTCCTATCCTGGTCTTATCTTTTAACATTGTTTGTGGTAACTTTTCTCACACAAGAATTTCAATTTTAATCTATTATCTTCTTACGCTTTGTTTTTTTATCTCTCCAAAATGCTTTCCCTACCCTAAAATCATGATTATATTCTCCTCTATTATCTTCTGAAAGCTTTATTATTATGCTTTTTCACACTGAAATCTTTGAGCCACTTGATATTTTTGTGTATACTTGAAAATCAGGATCTATTTATTCTGTACAAATGACTGATTGATCTAACACCACTTATTCGAATCGTCCATCTTTCCTCCATATACCATATACCAAGTTCTATCTACCACATTCCAAATTCTCCTATGTGCTGTTCTCTTTTCTGCTGCAGTGGATTATTTATCTATTTATTCTCTGATATCATATTTTTGGTACATATCTTCTGGATACATATTTTTGGGGATCAAACTTGGGACCTTGTGCTTGCAAGGCAGGCAGTGGAACCATGGAGCTAAATCCATGGCCCTCCTAATTCTTTCCTAATCTTGTTTTTCTCTTTTAAATTATCTTGCCTATTTTGGATCCTGAACTTCTCCATGAGCATTTTAAACCTAGCTGGGCAAGTTCCACAAAATACCTTATTGGGATTCTAGCTGTAAGATGTTAAGTTTTATACAACAATTACGGAGAATTTTCTCTTTTTAATATTGTTTTCCTTCAAGAATATGGTATATTTTCTCTATTTTACATTCAGCGATAAAGTCTTAATTTTTTTCCATGTAGATTTTAAACTTTTCTTTTTCAGTACTGGGGATCAAACACAGGACCAAGCAATTGTGAGGCAGGCAGTGGCACCACTGAGCTAAATCCCTAGCCCTTAAACAGTTTTTGTTAGATTTTTTTTTTTTGCTGCATAAACTGTGGCTTTTGTTGTGACTCTAATTTAGGTAGTGTTATTATATTTTCTAATTGTTTATGTAGCTGTACAAAAGCACCACTGATTTTTAAATATCGCTTTGTGTCCATCAACCTTGAAGAACTCCCTTATAAGTATTGATGAAATATCAAAGGATTGTCTAGAATATCTTATCAAACCATATTACTTGCATAATGATTATTAGTTTGTTTCTTTGTTTCAATCCCTATATATATATTTTTTTTCTTTTCTTGCTGTATAGGTCAGGACCCTTCAGTACCATATTGAATGAGAACGATATCCATGTCTTGTTCCTGACTTTGAACAGAATGTTTCCATTATTTCATCATTAAAACAGTGTTTGCTAAGTCCAGGGATTTAGCTCAGTGGTGCCTCTGCCTATCTTGAAAGGTCAAGGTCCCAAGTTCGATCCAAGTACCAAAAATAAAGCAAAATAAAAAACAGTGTTTGTTATTGTTTTAATATTTAGGATGCTTTGATGTATTCCCAGTTTTTTAAAGGGTATTTTAAAACTTTGAAATGAATGTTAAATCTTAGTGTGCTTTTACTATATATATGCTGAGGTAATCATTTAATTTTGTCCTTTAATTGGTATTATAGTGAATTATACTAATAGATTTCAAAGGGCTGGGGATTTAGCTCAGTGGTTCTGCCACCTGCCTTGTAAGAACAAGGTCATGAGTTTGATCCCCAGTACCAAAAATAAAAAAAATCCGAATA